CATGGATTGGTGTTCGACAACGGGGTGATGGCCAACGCGTCCGCCGTCGTGGTGAATGACAACGCCGGTGCGCTGACCGATGGCGCGCTGCTGGTGCTGCGGGAGGCGGTGTCGTTTGTTTGCGGGTCGTGGCTGTCGGTGCGCGGCAACAGCATCAGCGGCACGCTCCTGTCGGTGCCTCCCAACCCGCGCAGTGTGGAATTTGTGCAGAGCACGCTGACGTTTCACAAGAACGCCGGCAGTGGGCCCGTCGTGATGGACGGCACCGTTGAGCTCGGGGGCGCCGGCCGAAAGTTCGTCGTGGGGTGCCTGACGCTCAACGGGCAGGCGCTGCAGGCGATCAACTACAGTTCCGCCGGCATCATTGGGAAATTCCGTCCTGTGGCGTGCAGCGTGTGCGACGCCGACGTGCGCTGCTTTGCTGCTGCGACGAGGGCGATGTCGAGGTCGTGCGGCTGCCGCTGTGCTGAGGGCGGGTACGGGCGCGACTGCCTGCCGGTGTACCTGCCGCAGGTGGACGGGTGCAACCGCACGCCCGAGAAACCGCTGCTGAGCCACACGGCGACGCTGACGGCGACGTGCAGCCTGACACCAACGTGGACGCCAACGCCGCCAACAACGAGCCTGAGTACGACGCGCTACAGTCAGACGAACTACGGACCGACGGAGACGCTGCAGGTGACGGAAACGGAGACGCTGCTGCCCACGCCGACCCCGGCAGCGTCGGTGACGGCGACGGTGCTGCCGACCACGACAATGACGTCATCGGACTCACTGCCGACCCCGGCAACGTCGGTGACGGCGACGGTGCTGCCGACCACGACAATGACGTCATCGGACTCACTGCCGACCCCGGCGGCGTCGGTGACGGCGACGGTGCTGCCGAGCGCGACAATGACGGCATCGGAGTCACTGAGCATGAGCCTGTCGGTGAGCAGCACGCCGTGGTGGAGCGACGTGGCGTGTCCGAAACTCGCCGTGACGACGGCGGCTGGTGGGAGCCTGACGCAGAACGACATTCGCGGCGGTGGGAGCACCGTCCCGACACTGCTGATGGTGGTGCTTCCGCCGCCGTTCCGGTGGGCAAGCGACCCGCACCTCGGCACGCACCTGAGCTTTGTGCCGGTGTCGACGGCGCAGCCGCGCGGCTTTGGTGGTCCGTGGGGAGCGATGCTGCGCAACGCGACGTGGGAGCGCAACGCGACGAATCCGTCCACCGTCCTGGAGCTGGCTGTGCCCGTGCACCGCGGTTACTTCATTGCTGCCGACGAGACGATAGTCATTCGCTGCGACGCTGCGGCGGTGTCTGGCGGCTGCAACGGTGTGCTGCTTGGGTCTTTCACCATTGCGTCTAACACGCTGCCCGCCGTTGCCAGCGCCCTCTCGACGATCACCGGCGTTGTTGCGGGTGCGACGGCTGTTGCCGTGGTGGTGACCGGCGGGCTGGGCTCCATTCTGGAGATGCAGGCGCTCGGCGTGTTTGCGAGGATGTCATGCGCCTCGGCGCAGGAGCGTGCGAGCACCGTTGCGCTGCCGTACTTCCTGTCGGTGTTCGCTGCCCTTGATCCGCTGTGGATGGTGGTGGGCAACGCGCTGCTCGCCGCTGTGTTTGGGTGCGTGCACTACGGTGTGACGGCGGCCTTCCAGCGGTGGCGCGGCGTGGACGCTGCGAGTGCGTGGGCGGCGATGCGCTTCCCGAGCCTGACGTACGTCGTGGCTCACGCGATGCACCTCGGCATCTTCTTCGGCTCCGTGGTTGCACTGGCGATGCCCGGCGCTCGCGTGCAGCACTATGTGATTGGTGTCGTTGGTGTGCTGTACGGTGTGGCGTTTCCTGCTGGCGTGTGCTACTTGATTGCCCGCCACACGGGCGCGAGCTTCACGAAGTACTGGCATTTTTTGAAGAAGCCGCTGCACGAGCGCCTGCTGTACCCCGTCGGGTATTGGCACCCCGCGGCGCAGCAGCGGATGTACGGCGGCATGCTAACGAACATGAA